CACCGGAGTGGGCTGCTCGACGAAAGCAGGCTGGGCCACGGGAGTGGACTGCTCGTCGGGAGCAGGCTGGGTCACGAGAGCAAGCTGCTCGGCAGGAGCAAGTTGGGCCGTGAGAGTGGGTTGCTTGACGGGAGCAGGCTGGATCACGGGAGCAGGCTGCTCAATGCGCGGTGCATGTGAATGCGAGGCTTGGGCTTGGGTCCACGTAAACTTAGATGGCACGGCTTGGATTGTGGTCTTGGTACCGTGAGCCTTGGATGGCACGGCTCGGGCCGTGGTGAAGGCTCCATGGACCTCGCCACGAGTGGCTACCGAAGTAGCCACCGCGGTGGTTCCCATGGTGGCCGTGGTGAAGGCACCATGGACCTCGCCGCGGGTAGCTACCGAGGTAGCCACCACGGTGGTTCCCATGGTAGAAGCTTGTGGTGATGATGCCGCTCCCCTTATTGTCGCATTTTGCCTCACGGATCTCCGGGCCGTGGTGAAGGCTCCATGGACCTCGCCACGAGTGGCTACCGAAGTAGCCACCGCGGTGGTTCCCATGGCGGCCGTGGTGAAGGCACCATGGACCTCGCCGCGGGTGGCTACCGAGGTAGCCACCACGGTGGTTCCCATGGTGGAAGCTCGTGATGATGATGCCGTTCCCCTTATTATCGCATTTAGCCTCACGGATCTCCGCAATCCCATTTCTTGAACATTAGAATTTTCACTTGTGGAATTTTCTAAATTTCTAGCCATTATATTTTGCTTATACGTTTTATCAAAGAACCTTTGCAAGTAAAAAATTCTAATAATAAGAACGTATGAAAAATATTCAAATGGACTAGAAAATAAAGAAAAAACCTTTTTGTGCGAGAGTCTTCTACGAGTATGGATTTCAACTCTCAATGAAAGCACCAATTTGTGGATGCAAATTTCTTCCTCCTTGATCTTGGACAATTTTGCACCTACAAAACAATTAACACTTTAGGTTAAGGCCAAGAGCCTCACGCGCCCACGATGAATGGGGGGGGCTTTGGCCGAAGAACCTCCGATGCCAAAGTTAGAATTTAGAGAGAAGGAGTGTTTAGAGAATTTTAGGATTTTTGCCAAAGTGTTGGAATTGATTTTTTGGTGAGAATAGGTGCCTATTTATAGAGTTAGGAGGTGGCTAGGGTTTTTAGGTTTAATTTAGGTTTAATTAGCCAATTTATTATGATTAATTGGCTAATTTAAACATAAAGGAATGTTTTGATGGTTTTGGGCTTAATTGGCTAGCTAATTAGTGTAATTAAAAAGGGAAAATGGTAGAAAAGGTAGAGAATATGATAGGCTCTTTTTGGATGGGAATGGCCGGCCCTTGGTGTGATTTTGGGGTGATTTGGTGATGTAATTAGCCTTTAATATATTGATTATATTAATTGGTTGAGGATGTTATGGAATGTTTGAAATAAATGGCTAATTGAATAAGGAAAAATGAGGTAAAAACATATATGAAATAGGTTTTGAATTGTTACCCATTTTGGGTACTTCTGACTTGGTTGATGGATGATTCTCCACTGCTCGCGTGTAGGAGACCCGGTATGCCTCGAGGGTATTTTTGTCCTTTTTGTCCAAAAAACCCACGTGTCGCCTTGTGAATATTTTTGGCTCCACAAATGTGTGCCTCCAATCTTAACTCATAAACAAATCAATGTAAATTAAATAATAAGTCTAAAGTCTTTGTTTTCTTTAAAAAAAAAAACCAAGATTAAATATCTAAGTCTAACATATGTAAATTATATATCTTTTTTTTTTTGTGTGAATAAATGTAAATTATCCATCTGTATAGTCAAATATAACATCAAAAGTTAATTATTTAGATGTCACTAGTATTGTGTCTAGTGACATTTTTCATCACTTACAATAAAGAAACAAAAGCAAGTGTTGTAACTAGTTCGATACTATACTATTTTAATGGCTCATTATGGTAATTAGTCGAAAATTTTCTGCTTTTAGTATAAAAGAAAGTTGTAGAAAATGAAAAAAGAGATTACATATAGATCGGAGAGAAGTGAGGCTTATGGGGAAGAAGGTCCTAACCTAATGATATGGGGTATTTTGGTTTGTTAATGTCGACCAAAGTAATATTCACAAAGAAGAACAAAGTTGCAATTGGAGGTAGGGTCCTAAATATATGGCTTTGCATAAATAAGAGAATAATATATTTTATATTTTTGGTTTAATAATGAGAGAATAAGTTTGAAAGTGAGCAGAGAAAAAAAAAATTAGGTTTTAAAAAAGTAGAAAATGACAAATGATGGACCAGAAAAGGAAAAAATAAAAAACAGAAACTGGCCACTTGGCTTTTGTTTCTTAATACCAAACCGTGTCAGCTCTCTTGTCTCGTGTGGATTTCACATGGAAAGTGTGAAGAACTCAAAAGCAAGTGGCAAACATAACACAAACAAAAGCTAATGCCACTCTAACCGAAAGTGCTAAATATAGCTCTGTCTATAATTATAACCTTGCAAAAAAAAAAACTTTTTAATGAAACAATGTCAGACCATACTCAAGTATCATCACCAACCGAATGGGCTAAACATAACCATCTCAATAATCTATTAGTTTTAAGTTTCAATTTATTAGTTAAACTACAGTCGAATTTTTCAAATATAGCTATTGAATTTGAATTAATTTTTGCAACTGAGGAGTTGAGTCCGAAATAAAAGATTAAGAGGGGGGCTTACATTTGGCATGCTTTTTTGGTCAAATAATAGCATGGTGGGCTTCACAAAATTGTACCCCTACCATCGGTTAGAGGTATTTTTTTGATAAATCAGATCATTTTTTAGCTTTTAAACCTTTAGCCCTCTCCATTAAAGATGACCTAAGGGAAGCAACAAAACTTGGACCACTAGCTGGGAATATGACCAAGGGAGATGGCTCTGTTGCCATGGAAGGATTTTCAAAAGGTTCACGCTTGCATTCATCACATTCCATTTATAGGTAAACAGTAAACTCAAAGGGTAAAACCCTAGATGTAAGTAATTCCATGACTTGAGGGATTGGACTACTACTCTAATCATTATTCCTCATCTTTATTCCAACTCATTGATATTATCCTTTGATATTGGTGGAACGAAGATTATATTCATTTATTTTCTAATTCAATCTTTGATTCGAATGCTAACACAGTTAGTACTACTCCCCTTTCGGTCAGTCAATTAATTGTGTAAATTTTTTGTCATTATCGATTAATCGACACAAATTTTTTATTTAGATTTTAAAATGCTGAAATTTGGGTCCAATTCGAGAGTTGGAATTTCTATGTAAGCTCTTAAGTTTATTCTATTCCTTAAAAGCATGAGTAACTCAGCTAAGGGTGGGCAAACAAGGATCAGGATCCTCTCCTGAGCAGATGGAGAGGATCCTCCTGACCAGGCACATCAGGCCGTTCATTTTTTATCTAACGGTTATAATTATTATAACTTTTAGAGGGGCCCTCTGTTTGTAACCGTTGGATAAAAAATGAACGGCCCGATGGGCCTGGTCAGGAGGATCCTCTCCATCTGCTCAGGAGAGGATCCTGGTCCGGCAAACAAACCGATTCATATTATAAAATCAAACCAAACCGAAAAAATTAGTTTAGTATGCAATTTCTCTCTCCTCCTAGCTAAATTTAGTTAGTTACTGTTTAAAAAGTTATGATAACTAGGTATTTAGCTAATTTATTAGAGCATCTTCAAATGAAATGTCAAATTTTTAAAACATAAAATATAAAATTGACAGCCTATGTGACATTTTGTCACTTTGACAACTTTTAAAGTTTTATGCTCCATTTGATATGTCAAATGGTTGTTTTTTTAATAACACCTCACAAATTATTAACTACATCCCATATACTGAAATCACCCAATATTTACTTTTTAAATGAGAAAATATCTTAATACACCCATTTTAACTTTCCAAAAAACCCTCTCACCCCTCACTTCAAAAATAAGGCACTCTTCATCACTTTAAGAAAAAACAGAAGAAAAAATCTCGTTCAAATATAACTATTATTTTATTACCTTATAAACTATTATAATAAATGTTTTACCAAAAACAAATAAAATTAAAAATGCATTTAGTAATTAACTGAAAAATGAGGGCTGATAATTCATGTTTTGTCTCATCATATTGAATTTTTGATTAGAAAATATTACTGCTGTTTTTCTTACTTTTGACATTTATTTGGACAGAGATGCTTGAGTTTTTTTTATTGCATTTTTTTTTGTATTAAAGTAACAAAACAAATCTCATTTGGCTTGCGTTAAAGATGCTCTAACGCAGGCAAGTGGGCATCGTCCCCAACCCCACTCCTTCAAATCTTGACTTTAAAAATCATCCACTTGCTCAGTGGCTAATAAAACAAAGCCAGCAGAATCCATACCTACTAAACCCATAAAGCTAACCCAATGAATGGCATCCCCACTTGACCACCCAACAAACCAACCCAGATAGTGGTCTGTCGCCACACAATTCATCACCACCATGCCAACCTAGACAAAATTTTGTGGGAATTTTTTTCATATTATTTTACTGGTAAAAAAAAAAAATGAATAAACTGTACAAAGGCATAAAGCACTTTTTTAATACAGGACAACAAATGGGGCCGAAGAGGCTCGTTTTTAGTTAAAATGGCTAGAATTCTGCACTCGAATTTGAATCTCGCATTTATAGTACACAGAGTAATTGATATGTTCTTATTACGTTGAAGGTGTAGTGTCTAATAATGATATGACAAGACATTTAAGTCTATATTCACATAAGATGTTACCTAACATTGTACACACGCATATATATATATATTTTGTTAAGTATACACATATTTTATAAATCTACCTATAATTTAAATAAATTAATTGTAATTATCTTATTATTTGTAAATTAGTACAAATGGACCCAATGGAAAAAGAGAAGGCTTTGGGCATAAATTTTGGAATTAAAAATTTAAATTGTCGGTGGGGGAGAGTGGACTCTCCTCCTCCTCTCATAGGTTTTATGATAACCCGCCAAGCTATAAGCTGAGGCACTCCCCTTTTCACACCGAAAGCCTCTCTCTCTCGTCCTCCTCTTCTCCCTCTCTCTCTCTCTCTCTCTTCAAGAAATAAAGAAAGGAAAAGCATTTTTCTCTCTCTCTCTGGAAGCGTCAGTCTTGTATTGCCTTCTCTTCTCTCTCTCTCTCTCCCTCTTCAAGAAATAAAGAAAAGCATTTTTCTCTCTCTCTGTCTGGAAGCGTCCGTCTTGTATTGCCTTCTTCCTCATTTGTTTGTAGAGAAAAAGAAGGAAACGGTGTGAGGGTTGTGAGATTGAAAGGAAACAAAACTTTATCGGAAAATGAGCATCGGCGGCGGCGACTCGGTGGAGGCGGAGTACATAAGGAGGCACCACAGGCACGAGCCCAGAGAGAACCAGTGCACTTCGGCTCTGGTCAGGCACATCAAAGCCCCTGTGCATCTCGTAAGCCTCTCTCTAACTTTCCCTCTCTCCTTATCTCTCTCTGAACCGTCTGACCAAGCTCTGAATTGTGGTTCTTTTGATTTGGGTGGTGTTGATTTGTATGACTCTTTGTTAAAGATTGGATTTTTTTTTTGTGGGTTTGACTTTTTTTGGGTTTTGGAGATCTGGGAAATTGGGGACGATGGGAAGTTTTTCTGGGTTCTTTCTTATGTTAGTTCTTCTGGGGCTTTTATTACTTTGTTCAATTGGGTCGGATATGTGTTGAGAAATTGTTATTAGCTTTTTGGTCTTTTGTAATATTCGAGTTTGTTTGTTATTTTCACCTAATTTATGGTTGCTAAAAGTAATTTTGGTGTTGAGGATGATTTAGTAAAATTGAATTTTGTATGGTTGGGCTTAATTTTAGTTTGTTGTACTTATTTTGTTAGGTATAATCCATTTGGTTGTTGAAATATTGTAAGATAATGTAAAAGAACTATGAAAATTGGAAGGGGGTTTCTTTTTCTTTTGCCGTTTTTTTCTTTAATTTTAGCTTGCACGCAAAGAAAATGCTTCCTTTTTTTTGCACTTTCTCAGTAGCCAAACAAATTGTTAGTTTTTTAATGGCAAATATCTAGTGGAAGTTTGACGCTTTCCTTTTGGGTTCACTGTTGTTTTGTTTTTGATAAGATGTTGATTTAGTAGTGTGATCAAGTTGGTGTATTTTATCAGGTCTGGTCCTTGGTGAGGAGATTTGATCAACCGCAGAAGTACAAGCCGTTTGTTAGTCGGTGCACCATGAAGGGGGACCTTGGCATTGGGAGCGTTAGAGAAGTGAATGTTAAATCTGGTCTTCCCGCAACAACCAGCACTGAGAGGCTGGAGCTTCTTGATGATGATGAGCACATTCTTGGCATCAGGATTGTTGGCGGTGATCATAGGCTAAGGGTAAGAAGCTTTCTTGTTCTTTTTGCCTACTGGCGTGTTCTTGCTTTATCCAGCTGATTGTCAAATAGGAAGTACACTTGTGTCTGGTGCTTTGTAGCCCTTGTGTTTTAATGCCACGCGTATGCGGCACATTCCACAGCTCCACGCTTTACAAATAACTCGTGCCATCACCATGGATGGCTACGTTAGTTTCAGGTTAACCCAAGTAAAACTTCCGGTACACATGGCAGTAAAAGTTAAAAAAAATAAAATAAAATAAAATAAAAACTACTGTATTGATTTGTAGTTTGGGACTGTTCCATCTGCGTGCCTGAGGGTTTCTTATATGTTAATTTGTGACTGCTCTTTAATCACCAGCATATATTTTAGGGTTCCCTGGCTGTGAATACATCACGAGTAACCGTTTAGCTTGGATTTCAATGCTTTTGAAAATGTTTTTTCGTTTTAATATCTTAATTTTCCAAATTGTGTTGCAAATAATTGATTTGTTTTGCTTTCTATTTATAGATGGAGTGGATAGAGAGTGTGTTTGACTGCTAGCATTAGCTGCTTGTTTGTGATAGCCATAGGCACTCAGTCGTGGATCGGGCCATGTGTATGTCTAGGTCCCATCGAATTATCTCACATGCTACATATGCATGGTATGAGGAATGCATGTAACATGTGCCTGCAGATATTGTTCCTTGGTGATTGCCCTTGGCAATATTCTCGACTTGTCTCAAGACTTAATCTTAAAACATGTAATATTGATAATGGCAATTTTTGTCTGGCTTTTAGTTTGTTGGAATTTTGTTTTAGGCAGATGACGCTGCCAGGATCTGGCCATCACATGCATGAAATATGTATATTTTGTTAATTTATCATGCTCAATTTAGTTTTCTATTTTTTTTCGTTAATATTTGGATCATATTGTTTACACTTCGGTATTATTATGTGGTACAAGTATGCTTTCCCAACCTCATTTCTATATGTTCTTTGGATTTGCAGAACTACTCTTCAATTATTACCGTCCACCGTGAGGTTATTGAAGGAAGACCAGGGACACTTGTTATTGAATCCTTTGTAGTGGATGTGCCTGATGGGAATACCAAGGATGAGACATGCTACTTTGTTGAGGCTCTGATCCGGTGCAATCTCAAGTCTTTGGCTGATGTCTCAGAGAGGATGGCTGTCCAGGACCGAACCGAACCTATCAATCAATAGTGGATTTGGGGGATGGCACAGGAGTACGATGGACTATAGCTATACCAACCATGTGGTTTTTTTGTCTTAGATGCTTTGTAGGGATAGTACGAGCTTTCCTTCCATTCACAGAAGCTTTGGGAACATTGCTGCTTTTAGCATTTCCGACTGATGAACATCCTTCCTCACTCTGGTAACGATGCTGGGGTTTCTCGTATTTGTGTTTCAAGGACGAGCTTTCTAGGTTTTTATAAGCTCTCCATGAAGGGAAAGGGAAAGCTACTGTGAGTTTTATTGTTCCTGGGTTTCGTGCATGGTGATACCGATGTTAGTACGACTCTGATCTGTAAATATATGTCTTGGAAAGAGATGGTATCTATGGAATTGGGGTTTTCATCTTGTAGGACAGGGAGGATTCAGGGCGTCGAGCCGCTGTTCCGTTGTTTGTGTGTATACTTTATGTATTTGCATTCTTAATAAGTTATTGTAATCGCGTTACTTCCGTTTTTTCTTCTTGTTGGATAATACGTCGAAACTTCAGTAAAAATGGCCTATTCTTTCTTATGATATCTCTGTAAAACCTTAAGAACATGTACATCTCAGGGGCTTTCCTAGTAACCCAAGTTCTGTTAATCTTAACCGGCTGGCGGTTGAAAAACCAGCTTCAGCAATCCTCGCAGAGCTCTGTGCATTGTAAGGAGCATTCACCAAAAACTTGACCAATTTGGGCGAAGTTTTCACTCCATCTGCCTTGATCTTCCTCACCAGCAGTCATTGCAGGTACACTCTCCTTCACTAAAACGGTGAAACCCGACACCATCCTTGAGTAAAATCTCGCGTTTACGTGCTAACGACATGTATTTTGCTGCTGTATGGCAATCGGAACAAACTCGTGTGTTCTTAATCACCCTGATAGGTTCTCCACTTTTTGTATTCATCAGTCCGTAAGTAATGGCCAGTTTCTCTGTGTGACTTAGCAGCAGCTTCTTCTTCTCCGCCTCATCAATGTTCTGATGTACACAGCTAACGTCAGGCTCATACCCGAATTTCTTCATCTCATGAACCAGATGATACAATTCAAAATATATTTCTCCTGCATCGGTATGAGGTTTCCCTTCGGCAGAGAACACATGAACTGTCTGATCAATTTGTATCCAGCTCCACACAGGCCCGTTTTTCACCCCGGCATTCTTCATCAAATCTTTAAGACGCTCTACATCCTCCCATCTATTTGACATTGAATATAAGTTCATCATCAAGACATAATTGGCTGGATTATGAGGTTCCAACTCAAAGAGATTCTTTGCTGCAATCTCTGCAAACCTCAAGTTTTTGTGGATTCGACAGGATGTGAGGAAAGCACCCCATATAGTTGCATCCGGCTTTAATGGCATCGTTTGTATAAAATCCCAAGCTTCGTCAAGATAACTAGCTCTTCCGAGAAGATCTACCATGCAAGAGAAATGCTCAATTGTCGGAGCTATGTTATAATCGGTTGTCATACTATCAAACAAGTTCCATCCTTCATCAACTAAGACCGAGTTCTTGCAACCAGAGAGCAGAGCTGTAAAGGTTATAGCATCTGGCTGCACACCTACTCCTCGCATTTCTTCGAAAAGAGAAATAGCCTCTTTCCCAAAGCCATAAATGGCAAACCCCATAATCATGCAGTTCCAAGAAGCTAAAGTCTTGTTCTTAGTCCTCCTAAAAACCTCATGGGCACTTCTGAAATCACCTGCCTTACAGTACATGTCGATGAGTCCTGTGGCTACATATACATCCTCAACGAAACCTTTTCGTATACTGAGACAATGTATCTCTTCACCCTTGTGCAACAATGATAGGCCTGCACAAGCTTTAAGTAGGATGGATATGGTGGCAGAGTTTGCCCTGATACCTTCTTTTTGCATTTGGATGAAAAACTTGAGTGAGCCTGCGTAATTCTCATTGTGCGAGCAGCCTGATATAAGAGCAGTCCATGAAACCACATTAGGAGTTAACCCTGAACTTTTAATCCGATGAATCACAGCCAAAGCTTCCTTATGGAGGCCCCTCATTGCATACCCCGAAACCAGACCATTCCATGTAACTAAGTCGGGCTTGATTCCTTCCTGACTCATGTTACGTAATAGTCTTTCAGCATCTTTGAAAATACCCTTGAAGGAATACCCTGAGATCAATGAATTCCAAGCAAAAATGTTCTTGTTCTTCATATTATCAAAAACATTTCGAGCACTGGACAAACAATCATTCTTCACATACATGTCTACCAACGAAGTTCCTACGTAAACATCATACTCATCAAGCCCATTTCTTATCACGAAACCATGAACTTCTTTCCCATGTTTCAAGACACATAACTCAGTAACCGCTTGAAGAACACTAGTGATAGAGCTTGAATTTGGCTTAAAGCCCGCTTTTTGCATTCGCTGCAAAACCACCAGGACAGCTACATATGAGCCATGGTTAAAATGTCCTGACAGAAGGCAATTCCAAGTCACAATGTCTGGCTTCACATAAGACAATTCCATTTCATGGAAAAGAATCCAAGCATCATTCAAACAACCAAGCGAAGCATAAGAAGAGATAATCGAGTTCCATGTCGATAAGTTACGATCTTTCATTGAATTAAAAACTTTCCTAGCTGATTCTAATCTGTCATTTCTTGAATACATGCTAATAAGTGAATTGCATATTGACAAATCTGAATCCAATGCCCATCTTAAAACATACCCATGAATCTGCTTTCCTGCATTGAGAGCTCTAACTTTTCCACAAGCTTGTAGTTCTTTGACAATTGTAGAACTGTTTGCTTCAGCACGTGAAAACTGCATACTTCTGAACAATTCCAATGCCTTCACCCATCTCCCATTCTTCAAGTTGAGCTTGATCACCTCATTCCATAAAATATCTTCCTTCTCAGGCATTTCATCAAACATTTGGTTGGCACTTTCTATGCCCCAACAACTCTCATAAAAATTGATCAATGCACACTTCAAATACACATCAAATTCAAAACCCCTTTTGATCAAATACCCATGAATTTCCAACCCAGGCCACAACTTCTTCAAACTTGCACAGATTTCCAAAACAACACAAACAACTTTGCTATCAAACATCACTCCACCTCCATGAAACTCACAAAAAAGCTCAAGAATTTGTGGGTCCCCCCCAAATCTTCTAAGTTCATCTAGGCAAGAACTCCATGAGTGATAGTTTTGTGCAGAGCTGGCAAACAAAGCCATTGCAGCAGACCTACAATCACCAAATTCCAAGTAATATGTGACCAAATTATTTCCCTTGGCATCCATGTTACTCTTTTTAGACAATTTTATCATCTGGGCATGCCTTGCTTTCACTAAATTCAGAGTTTTGACCTGACCCAAGTCATCCAATAAGGTAAAGCCTGGAGCTTTTTGGGTTCTTGGGGGGTTGAAGATTGTCGGGTTTAAGAGGAAAGGTGTGGAGAGGTGGTGAAATGGAGCTAGTTTGTCCATGGAGGTTAGGTAGTTAATAAGGAAAGCCAAGGTAGTTTGGCTGTGAAGAAATGGCAGTTATGAGAATATTGGGGAGATTTCATATTTGCAATTGGAAATTGGGAAAGTGTTTGGATTTTTGGATTCTTTTGGATAAGGTCGATCCTCTTACGTAATTCTTTTTGAACCGGCCGGTTATGTCAGAATGATTGCTATTGGGTCCGGCCGGAGTTGGTTGAACCCAGTTAAAACACTTTTTGTATGCCATTTTAAAAGTGGCAAACAATTTAGTTGGTCGAGTTTTGATACTTTACGTGTGCTGCTAATTGCTATATGTGATGTGAGTCAGAATTGGTGTTGTTATTACCGGATCAGGATCCTCTCCTGAGCATATTGAGAGGATCCTCCTGATCAGGTCCATCGGACCATTCAATTTTTATCCAACGGTTACAAACTGGAGGTTTTTTTAAAAGTTATAATAATTATAGCCGTTGGATAAAAATTGAATGGCCTGATGGGCTTGATCAGGAGGATCCTCTCCATCTGCTCAGGAGATGATCTTGATATGTTATTACCTTTGTTGGTTAGAATATCTCCAACCGTTTTAGGAAGGCAAGGACAAGAACTGTGAAGTTGCTCTTCCTATTCATTGAAATGTCTTTGTGCAAGACCACCATTTTAAGGCGAGGAAGAGCAAGAGCGAATACTATTTACAAAATATTATTTTTTTGTATGCCTTGAATGTGTGTACCATGTAAGTTTGTTTTTTGAAAACAAATTTTTTTGTTTAACTCTAATAATTTAATTTTAAATAAAAAAACAAACATGCATTACAATTTACAAGCAAGCATGATTAGTTAAAAAATTAATTAATTTGTTTAAGTATGTTGAAGAAAAAAATTGCATTTTTTTTACATGTGGATAAATCTTGACCATTGATTTTCAATTTTTTTAATTGAGATGCACCAGATTGGGCCAAGTGACACAACCTAAAATTTTCAATTTTCACATTTTATTTATTTTTTAACCAAGTAATTACAATTCCAATTTCCTTTATTAAGTTGTTAAATATTTTAAGTTTTTTAATATAAATTAATATAATCTTATAGTTAATATACATTTAGTCATCATAGATCCTAAAAATAAAGACCTTAAGAAAGCAGAACTCATATTCCAGTTGCCACTAGAATAAAAATTAGTGGTTTCTGTATTTAGGCATCTACTACCATAAAAAAGGAAAAAGCTCTCATCGTTCTCTATTCTTTTTGTCCAACATTAAGATGGTACAAATTCGAACTTAATTCTAAAATTGTCAGAGCATGTAAAATTGATATTATTCCTGACAATCTCTCTAATATTTTGAATTGAAATTACTTGCTTAAAAAATCACAAACATAAATATAAAGACAATTTGTCACCCCAAAGAGTCTTAATTAAATTCTCTTCATCACTTATCATCTCATGACCAACTTCTAGATCTTCTAGGACCCTTTGCTCACGTGTGTGTGTATATATTCTTCAAGCTAATTATACTTGTGCACGTCACACTCAATCATATACCTAGTTGCGCTTAGTGCCGTCCGAAATTCTAAGGAGACTTGCTTAAAGAAAGATTTTGTATGGACTTTTTGTCACTTCAGGTTCCAAAAAATGCTAAGCGCTAGTCGGACAGCGGACTAGGGCCTAGTAGGGGGCCTAGGCAGATTTGAGTAATTTATTATATATTGTATAAATAAATGTCTACTTATACTTGAATATTACATAATTTCATTGAGATACATAAATTGAAAAATAAAATGACATATAGATTATAAAGTACTAGAACATAATGAAAACATGAGAAACAAGCATATGATATGTGTTCATCTAAGTATTTGAAAAAGTATCATACAATTTATTGAAAAAAAATAAAATGCAAAATGAAAGTTAACAATTCCTGTCTATCTGAAAGTTGCGACCTAGGCGGGTCTTGGTGGGTTAGGCGAGTGCCTAGGCCATTTAGGCAGATGCCTAAGCAGGTCTAGGTGCTCTTTCTTAATTTTCATACGCTTAGGGAGTAATCGGGGTGGTGATCAACTGCCTAACACCTAGGCGGGGCCTAGGCTGTTGTGAATGAGTCTCACATAGATGGAAGGAGGAACCTTGCATGAGATTATAAGAGGTTGGGCTACTCCCCATAAAACCAATTGGCAATATGATGAGTAGCCCAACTTACTTAGAAGTCCATGCAAGGTCCTTCCTCTCATCAATGTGGGATTCATTCTCAACACACTGTTTCATGTATGGTGAATTTTCAAGCTTAACATGTGGATAGCACAATGGGTGACATGGAACACGTGTGGCCGTTTGGCTTCACACGTGGGACAACCTGCTCTGATACCATAAAGAAGTTGAGGTTTCACTATAAAACCAATTGGCTTCGATTTTAGAGTAGCCACATTAGGCTTGGCAACATCTTTTGGCTTGGCGGCGTGGGCTTTAGGCTTAGTATCATGCTTAGGCTTTGTTGGAGTAGTCACTTTGGGCGTTAGAGCAATAGCTTTTGGCTTAGATGCGGGTTTTGCCTTAGGCTTGGTTGCAGCAGCCTTTGGTAGCTGGCTTTTACCTTCCCTTAGGTTTCGCAGCAACAACTTTTGCCTTCAGTTTAACGGCGGACGTCGGCTTCTTCTTCACCAGAGAAGCAGGCTTTGGAGTCGATGACTTCACAGGCGGGAGCTTGAAGGAGTTTTTGACCTTGACGATCTTATTAGAACTCACAAGCTTTTTCAAATGGAAAAGCAAAAGATTCTTGAAGTTGGGTGGCAGCTGGTTATGTTTCTCCTCGATGTACTTAGTGATCGTGTACTGGCTCGAACCAGTCATTTCCTTCAACATCACAATCGCTTCCTTAACCATCTCTTCATATAGAGGATGAACCGGAGCACTTCTAGGCTTCCTCGAAGCGGGTGCCTTTTTCGCCTTGGGCTCCTTTGCCTTGCTGGCCTTTGTCGTCGGTTTGTCGTCTGCGGTATCGGTGGTAACTGGCTCAGGAGGAGGATTCTCAACCATCTTGGTCGCGACGACCACAGAGGCTTCTTTGGTCGCCATAGGATAATTCGAATTTTAGGGTTAGTGTATGGAAATAAAGGGGAAATAGAGGACTGAAATTTGAAAGAGGGGAGAGAGATCTGGATCGACCAGCAATGTACGTGTGTGAAGCCCAACTTTCTTCATATAATCAGAGTAGGTTGGCCCGCGTGTAAAGCCCAATGGCCACATGTGCTCCACGTCACTTAATTTGTGTTGTCCACGTGTTTGGTTTGAAAATTCACCACACGTGAGGTGGCGTGTGAGAATGTGACAGTAAAAGAGTCCCACATTGGTGAAAGGAGAAACCTTACAAGGAGTTTATAAGAGGTTGGGCTACTCCCCATATTGCCAATTGGTTTTATGGAGGAACCTCAATTTCTTTTGCCAATTAGTTTTATGGTGGAACCCCAACTTTCTTCATAGGCGGCGCTAGGCGGTGGATTTTAGAATAGTGCCTCACAGTTTATCGTGAATTTATGTACGCACATTATAAAACATTGTGCTAAAAACATGAGGTGACAAAAAATCCATGAAGAATCTCACTTTGATTCTCCTTAACATTTCTCTTATGCCGCATCTCACCCCTAAGCTTCACTTCAAAGTTCCGACCAACTTAATATATAGTTAATTAATTGATTAACAAGAGCAAGAACTATTCATGGAGGCTTTCACAAGAATAAAATTAATGACCAATTGTATTTGTCCACCTCATTCCCTTTCGTATCATCTCTTTAGATTATTAGTAATTTTTTTGGTGTTTCCCTACCTGCTTAAATCGATTACCTCACCAGATCCATCTATTCACTTCATGATACGTGACGAGTATGAAGTATAATCTACTTCAATGACTTATCTTTTTGTTTCATTTAGAAGCCACTCGTCAAGGATGAAACCCTTACCCATTCCTTCTTCACCTGTGCATTCTACATATTTCGTTGCACCTCCTAGCGGGCACATGCACAGAAATTTACATCTCAATATGACGTAGGATTGGAAGAGCAGTTCAGATTGGCGAGTTTCAGCGTGAATAGTGATTTTCGTATGAATATTGTTTTTTGCGGTGAATAGTATTATTGAAGATTATACCAGTCTCAAGATACATTTCCGGAAAAAGAACGACGTGATGAAATGCATCAAACTCGTCCCTATACCAGATGGATTTAAGGAGTTTAATGATGCCCGTTCACAATCTATGTGTCGTAGGAATATTGTTATGGGCGACGATCAAAAGACCCCTCTGCAAAATGTAAATTTCTATAATAACCTAAATCAATTAGTGAAACCAATTAATTTGATTTGTTTCCATTTTAGTTTTATTAGCAAAGTAGTAGTGTTGCTAATTGGTAATATGGAGAGTAACCCAACTTATAAGCTCATATAATGTCTTTTCTCTTATCAATGTGGGTGCCTCGTCATGTGTGAGGAATATTCAAGTCAAATACATATTTTCGAGCCAGATACGGGGACGACACAACTGAAGTGACGTGGAGTACGTGTGGCCGTTAGACTTCATATATTGGATAACTTGCTCTGATACCATGATGTTGAGGTTTCACATAAAACCAATTAGCAATATAAAGAATAACCCAACTTACTTATAAGCTTACGTAAGATCTCTCTTGTCGTCGTATAGGATTCATCTCAACAATATCATCATAGAGTCACCGAATGTGGAGCGTCCATTAATTAATTGCTGAGGGTAACAAATGAACATGAACCCCAATATCTTTTTTTTTTTAGTACAGCATGAACCCCAATACTAATCATAAAGCCTAGTGAGATACAAATCATGTGTGCGAGGACGGGCATCAGACGATGATGACCTACAGCTTCGATAAGCTATGGCTCAAAATTACAGCTCCGACGAGTAGAAGAAACCAAATTCGAGAAAGAAGCAAACTCATCTTTCAAGGGTATCCCACGAGTATCAGAGTAGGTTGGTCCATATGTGAAGCTGAACAGTCACACTCCTTCACTTCACCCAATTCGTATTGTCCACGTTTTTTACTTGAAAATTCGTCATACATGAGGAGTGGGTGAGGATGTGAAGGTAAAAGAGTCACACATCGGTAACAGGAGAAACATTGTAAGGGTTTATAAGAGATTGAGTTACTCCCCATATTATCAATTGATTTTATAATGGAACCTTAACTTTCTTCAACTTCAGCTCTGGCGAATTTTTTTATTCTTCTACGTCTGTAATTCCTTTACTTGTACTCTAAAACTTTGTTGCTCGATATCACATTGTATATATAAAGGTGTTAACCCTGTCAATGAAATCTATCCAATTATATCAAATCCCTACATGGTATCAATATCATTGATGGTCTGGATTCTTTGGTCCATTTGCTCTGAACACAGAAATTCGGAGGATCTAAATTCGTAGTTATGGTTTATTTTTCTTGTTAGCCGCTCACCCTCTCCATTCTAGACCCTAGCTCCCTTTCGGCCACCCCCTCCTTTTGACGTCAAATTAACACATCCTCAAAACACTTGATTTGAAGCCCTTCAAAATAATTAACTTCATCCAATTGGTGTACAGAAATGTACTGCTAAATAGAGATGAAATAGGTTGGAGAATTACAGTAGAAAAAATCAAAATTGGAATGAAAGTTCAAAGACTAGAAAACAACTAAAACGAAAATTGAGCCACTTTTAAATCAGAGGTCCTCCCTGTCATATATATCCTAACGATATTTTGTACCAAATTGTGCGCCATCGTTTGTTTGTACTATTGTACACTAACGTGCTGGTTTCTCTCAAATTGTTCGAAAACAATAGTTATATAAATGGGACACTTAGGATGCGGTCCCTAGCTATCAATATTCTTTGATTGAAACATTGTTAGTTTTTAGTTTTTGATTGAGGTCCCTGACATTAATGTAATAATGTAAGTTACTATATTCTTTAAATTAAAAATTAAAAATTGAAATTTGTAATTGTTTATATTAATGAGATTTTAAATAAAACCCATAATTTATGGGATTAAAAATAATAAAATATAAATTATACTCTCTATTATATTGTGTGTGTGTGTACATATATGTATGGGTACATTAACCAAAATTAACAAAAAAATTATTGTACCAAAACATGGATACATTCTCAAATCAACGAAAAATAATGTACCCATATAAGTTTAAACATGGATTAAAAAATTTGAAAGGATTTTATATTAAAAAAAGGGTACATTTTACATATAACAAATTGATATATTTGAGAATGGGTACATTTAAGATTAAAAAAATTAAAAAATTATATGAATGGGTACATTTAAGATTAAAAAATTGAGAATCTTTTTATATATATAAAAAAAACTAATAGGTACAAACTTAATTTAATTTAATTTTTTATTATTTTGGAAATGTTTGAATTAAAAATTAATTAGAAGTTTAATAGAGGTGTGAGTATTAAACCCTAAATTAATTACTAATTTTTATATTAAAAAATTATATAATAAACATGTAAATTTATTATCACATTAATGCTAGGGACTTGAATCAAAATTTGAGAACTAATAAGGTCTTAGTCAATGAACAGTAAGAATTAGGGACCGGATACTAATTTTTCCTATATAAATTGGAGCATTTTGTTTGATCAACGACTGTCTTATAGCTTTACAAAATTAAACATGATTTGAATACAATGTTTCTTTGAAAACTGCATTTACTCACCTATAATACAAGAACAAACATAGATTAAAGGGCCTTTTGGTGCCATGTAACTTTCTCATCTTTGCTTTTAATTTCACCAATTTAGTACTATTACCTTCCAAAATTCGCACAATTAGGTGTAGTCATACGTTGCCTAATTGGTAACTTTTCTAACAGTATTAGATACTTCAGCATGCATGTCGTCAATGCTGAAAATATAGTGCAGATGTTTTAAAGAGTTTATGCAACAAAGAACATCTAGTATGAACCATAAGGTCCTATACATCTCAAGTTTTCTTTAATATTTTTTACTATTTTTCCATCTATCTTAAGGAAACATGCTTACAGCTTAAGAAATTTTGGTAAAAGATAAAAGACCAATGGGCAGCGACTGAAAAAGTATAATTATTGGAGAATGGGAATTGAGAAGCTCTTACATGAAAGCAGGAACTGCTGTTCACTCTCCCTGGAGACTTCGACCGTTTGATAAATTATTGTCAAGTGCATGCAAGATCTCGTGACGGAGTCTGTCCACAGTTGGATCAAGCAACAACGGACCATATGTGGAAGCAAGGTACGTCTTGTTCCATACCCCGACAATGGCCTCCGACTATGTCTCAGGATCATGGTAGAGACGTTGAGATGGCAAAAGCCGGAAGCCCTTGAAGGGGAGGGAACAACCAGTGCCTTGAAGCTTAATGTATAAAGTGCCCTGCAAGTACTTTTTGTCTTTATGAATTTTGAGCTACGGCCATGCATATTTATAGGTTGTAGTCTTGTACATGTGTAACATTGTATGTGCCAATTATATATAATTTTTCTTAAACAGAACGCATGGAGGACACATATCCTACATAATGGATTCATATTAAATATAATTCGCACATACAATAATTCTTCGTGCGATAGAAAAGAGATGAAGTTGTACATAGACTATGGAGCAATGTGGGATTGGGACATGCGCTGACTTCAAATGTGTGGCAGAACAAGAGATTCTCAGTGATTCCCATGAAGGGTTGGACTTTTGCTGCACTTGATATGCGTGGCATAACAAGAGATCCTCAGGGATTCCCACGAAGGTCTCCGAAAACCAAATGGACAAAAATAAGTGGCTCTTAAGAGCCAATGCAAATGGTCAATCACCATAAGCTGAGAACTGAAGAATAATAAAGCAGTGGTTTTCTGCATTATTAGGTCGCAATCTCCTACCATAAAAAAATACATATTTATTAGGAGTAGCCGAAATTGAAGGAAAGATGAGAGAAAATCGGTTACGGTGGTTTGGACATGTGCAAAGAAGGCCTACTGACGTTCCGATTAGAAGATGCGACTATGGGACAGAGGTTCAGGGCCGAAGGGGTAGAG